AAAATATCAACTAGGCTGAAAGAACATGAAAGAGCCTTAAGACTAAAAAAATAAACTCATCAGCAGTTGCCGAAAACAATCACGAAACAGGACATAAAATGTAATTTGATAAAACTAAAATTCTTGCATGTAATCAATTCTTCTACCAACGAAAAATGCGAGGGTTTATAGAAATCTATACGCAACCTAACAATCTTAACCACGACTCAGGTCTTTACCTATCACCAATCACCAATATGGGAATCAGTCATCCGAGACGGTGTTTATGTCCCTCATTTAGCTCCGCCCCCCTCAAACAATATAAAAGCAGGGACAGAGTAAAATGCGAGCCAGTTACAGTTAAGCTCTGAAGAAGCCTGATGGATGATTGGCGAAACGTTAGCTAGTTCGACCCAACAAAAACCGAAACTGGAGGAAGTCAGAAGTTTTAAAAAAAGCAACTGAAATCTCTTCACTCACGCTGGACGGATCCCCTACTTTCCAAATTTTCTATGATTTGGTTAACTGTTTTTTGCAACATTCTCTAAATTTAAGCAATCTTCGTGCTTATAATTAAAGGATACCGGTATGGTTATTGACAGAAAAATCGCTAAGACACAGAAAAGTGTTTATTGGCAATATTTGAAAAATGACATGGTATTTGGATAGACTGTATAAGTTACCTAATTTTCTCTATAAAATAAAAAAGGCTTATAAAAATGCTCAATTTTTATAATTTTATTCTTATTCTTACTTTACCAGCGTTCAAAATATGTTATATATTGCTCAATAAATCGGTATGTCTAAAATTATCGCAAGAAATAGACAAAATATAGACAGGGCTATTAAATAATACACTCAATTTAAGTGTGACCCATTATGTCGCCATTTTTGCTTGTAAAATTTAGTTTTCTCACTTTAGCCCTCCCGATTTTTATTTTCTCATCTTCTGCAGATTTTTGACCTCGCATTTTCGATTATACAATATATAAGCGGCTCGTAGCGTCCAACAAAAATAACAACGGGAGTTTAAATTGTTCTTCGTATTTCAGACCCACAATTTAGAAGAAACAACTTCCCCATTATCGTTATTCCGTCCCAAAAACTCTTACAAGAACGGTTCAAAGTAGCGTGGAATTTATTTGCGACCGTTTACAGTGTGCCCGGTTAAATATGCTGAAAAAACCTATTGCAACCAATATCGACAGCCCAGTTCAGGCAGTGCACTTCTGCGTTCCGCGAGTTGTACCGGCATAAAAAGAAAACCAAAGAATTGTTCATCCGACCTTCTGATACGTGTTCTGTTTTTAAACGGCCCCTCGAGATGCGAACAAAACAGACCAACTCGCAATCACACATACATTAAAATTGTGAAAATGTCATGAACCGGGTCAGGGAATAAATCTTGTGTCGGCATTTTTTTGTGATTCGCCTTTTGACAAACTTTCTGCTTTAATACATTTTTCCTTCGTCGGAATTTCGGCTTATTTAATAATTAATTATATACGGCACTGCGATTCGTTGTAAAAGATAGGAGTAACTAGACTATTTTTATTCATCGTTTCAGAAATTTTCTGCGAGATTTTTTACTCTCCGAAATAATTGAATAATGGAAATATCATTTCATTATTAGGTAGGAGTAAGGGAGGCATAACAGACACTGCAAGTAAAACGGTCCGTCAAAATCCTTCAAATACTATTTGTACCATATATACAAGGTTGTTAACGTTCAATTTTGCATAACGGAACATGCATCGAACAGTTAGCCACAAGTCGGAAAGAGTGAGCTACGAAATTTTAACAAGGTAAGCTATATTTAGCTATAATAAGGTGCATAGATACTATTATACCCTATTATTATAAACTATTTTATACTGTTATATTATTATATACTATTATATTATACCAAGACTAGCATAACTATACATATTTCTTTGATGTTCTATGTTGACATAACCTCCAGATCGGCACATTTTCTAGAATATAGCAAAAAAGAAAAACGGACCGGGCAAAATGAACCCCTTGGACTACTTTGCCTTCCCGGTCCGTTTTGCGTAAACAACTTCTTTTAAACAAAGCTTGTAATATTTTAAGATATGAAAGAAAGATCGAGAGGCAAAAATTCCCCGAAGAATGAATCAAGCAATACTGATACAGCCATAGCGAGGAAAGTGGGGAGATTTTAAACAAAATAAACAAAAAAATCAAGAGAAAAAGCTTGCTGGGCACGTACAAAATACGGAGGCCAGCATAACTTTGACCCAAGTACAAGGATGACCGGTAGATAGAAATTGGTTTGAGAGGGCTAACTATTTGTCAATATTTTTTATAAATGCGAAATTCTTTAATGGAAGACTTTTGTGTAAGTTTAATATGCAACAAATTTAAGTTTTGCTAAACAACACAAGATCGTTCAAAAACCCGTGACTAAAGTACCGGAAATGTGCTAACGTTTTTTTTTTTTTAATTTTTGCTCACGCTTGATCAGAGCAGAATTGGGTATTTCACAGTGCGGAATAGAGAACAACATTTTTAGACTAAAAATTTTAGAAAAATTAAGAACCTAGGAACAAGTAAATTCATTTTTATATAATGTTTTTATAATATAATTAATTATATAATATAATAATTAATAAAAAATCATAAAATAATAAAATTAATTGCTTCAAAACTGCTTTATTATAATGTTTTTTATTTATTAATAACACAGAATTTAGAATATCAGAATACCTATGCAATATTTTGTACTTTTAATAAAGATATTATTTAATTCAATTTATAAAATTATTGATTCAATGAATTTTATTTCTATAGGTAGAAAAAAATTAATTACAAGTGCCCCTACAATGCTCAATATAAAAAAGATTATATACAAAGTATAGTACAATATAGTAAAGTATTGTAAATTAATGGTTTAATAATCCACTTACAATTATGTTATTATGATACTTAGATTGAGAAAAATCATTGCAATTAATACATAAAATTGATAAATTAATATCATAACTAAATATAACAATATTATATTATATAATATAAAAAATATCGAAAAAATATTATTATTATCGTATAACGTATTACTCTTGTCTAGAAAAATACAAACCATGTTCGGTTTCCAATAAGTCCCTGAATTCACGCTACAGGATCTGTAGATTTCAATTACGCAGGGGGCGCTGTCAATCCCCGCATTCCATCAATCCAATTAACCGTGTGTCAGTAAAACTTATTTATCTCTCTCGATCTCGGTTTAACATCCCCACAGGTTATTTGTCTTATCAGACCGTGGAGCGCCTTAACACAAGCTATAACGACCTATCGGCACATATAATGCCAAATGGGTGGAGATTCCGATGTGTCAGTATTATAACCTACCTGAAATTAATAAAGCGCCACGAATGTCTCCTTTCGGACGACTATCCGACAAGATATTTCGGTCAATGCCATTATTGCCGCAATGCCGTTGTCCAGTATTCTATTCTGTGCTCCTTGTGTTTATTTGTGATTTTTGTCATTTGTAACTTGTTTTTGAAAACTTTTTAGAATAAAACTGTATTTTGAAAATGCCCTTTAAAAAATTTTTTTCACGCGGGATATAAAATCTATTTGGAGTTAAGTCCACGTCTTTCCACGGCTTCTGATATCGTTGTTTGTACAGTCATTCTTCGCTTTATTTCGTTGTTTGTTATTATTTGCGTATTTAACTTCTAAAAAAATCCATCTCTGTTGCTTCCAGTCTCTGTCTATCACGTTTTATTAATTCCCATTTCTTCAACTCAAACAACAATATACTTTGCACAGTAATTTTATATATTCTTAGATTTGTCTGTTTATGTATATTATTTGACAACAATAAGGAATTTCGTGTACTGATGGCTTGGTTTGCTTAATTAATTTCGTAGGATATTCGATCATTTTACACTTAAATAGTGAAGACCATACTTTAACTTGCTTCGGCTACTTCTCCATCAAGATTTGAATTGTACTGGGGGACTCCAATGACAGATATTTGTCATATGAGTCACTTGCGATGACCGCTATCTGCATCTATTCAAAAACATCGGCACTGCGAGAACTGATGTATATGCTAATAATTTTGAACAACACAAAGTCTGTTAGTTTCTACATTATTTTTTTTATGAAAGTATATTTTAAGTAAAGGTTTACTTTAACATGAGCCAAACATCACTGAGACAGAGCTCGCTAGCAGTTAGACAAAAATAATCTCACATTTACTTTCCCCTAAATAAGAACTGGATCCTAATTAGATCCTTGATGTTTATCTCTGGTGTCACGGAATTCTATCTGATCTTGTAAAAATTTCTTAAACACGGAAAGGCGCTTTTATCCGTTCCAATTAAGATCGATTTGGTTCGAATTTACTTACACCATGGCGATTTAATATTTTAATTTGTTTATCTAAACATCGCATCAAAAGCAGTTACAGGTTGCCCTGTTGAGAAATTATTTCGACCCGAGTGTCCAAACGGATTAGTTTTAGAATTAGTTAATTACGCAGTTAAATTTCACGATAGCGTTCAAACGCGTTTCATTTAAATGAAACTCCCGAGTTCTTTTCAATTGGTTATCTTTTTAAACCAGTGAACTCAAGCTAAACTGCGTGATAAAAGTGGGGCAAAATTTTCAATAGAAAAAGATGGCTAGTAATGGGGGTTCTTATCTTTCTCTTACAAGTTCGTATAAATGGGTGAATGGGGTGTTGTCGTTCAAATCACTGCTTAAAAAACCAAGGAAAAAAGCGCAAATTGATTTACTTGCAAATTTTAAATATTCGAGTTCTTTTTTACGTTTAAAAAAATAATTGGTATGCAAATAACAATATATATTTTTTCAGGGATATTATGTCATACACTTAACCAATAGTTTTTATTTCTTGCAACGGAGAAAAAATTTAAATGTTCTTTTTAAATTTTTGTGACCAATTCATAGACAAAGAATGTTAAATACTGATTTATTTTTTATTCCTGAATAATACACGAATCTACATTATCATACAAATTAAATTAACAATTTACTTCATTCCATAAAAATAATTCATTTACACAATCATATTTATATATAATATTAATAATCAAAAATCACAGGATTAACCATTAAAATAATTTCACTCTAGTCTACTACGAACAGGTAAACAAAAACGCAATTTCTTCAGCTATTAGTAGGGTTGTGAAATTGACAGGTCAAATTTTTGTATGTCAATTTTCGAGTCAATTGACCGAAATCATTTTAAAAATACTATGAAATTTATATTTATTTATTTATGTTGTGCGTTACGTCGCCGTCGCGTCCTTCCGGGAACCACATGGAGTCGATATTATTATTGGGATTTCCCGAATCGCTAAGTATCGAATTCGGATATTCCTTGCAGTGGGGTTATACATATTATTATTTAATAATTAATAATAATAATTTATAATTATTTAAGACATTTTTTGACTAGTCAATTGGTCAAGTGGTCAATTGACCAATCCCAACACTAGCTATTAGCATTAGCGTATATCACAAGAGAAAAAGACCTTTTACTTTCTGTCTCCCTCTAAATAACATGTGCTTCACAAAGACGATATTGAGTTCCCTGTTTTAAACGGACAAAAACTCAATGATTTGGTTAGTACCACTTTACGACGTCCATTCCTTAACCGCCTCTACTATTTTTTTTTGTATTTCATCGTGTCTCTTTATATGTTAGCCACACTCAATGAGGTGTTTTTTGGTCCAAATTTTGCACAAATAAGATGGCATAGCAAAGCAAATGTCAAAAAGGGTTACGCACAGTATAAACGAGAGAACGGAACAGAAATCTGCAAATTTTATTTCAAAAATTGATTAACATTCAAAAGTTTACAATAATGTACATACATAAACGATAACACACAAAAATTTAACTTAATTAATAATGTCGGCAAAAATAATTCCTCTGAATGAAACCTAGGCTGTGGGTACTGTAGAGCATTTCGTACGCCGGGGGTACATCTAGGTACATTTGATAAATATGATATTATCACATATAACACGATCAAGTTAATTCTCATGAGCGAGAACTTCCTCAGAAACATCAGCGACTCGAAAAAAGAGCACTGCCTGCAAAATATCCATTTTATACGGTCATAACCGGACCGCTATTTGTGGATACTTTGCAAGACGGTTCGTCCGCGGAAATAGGATTCTCGACGTCATTACTCCCACCCTGTATATCTTCCAGTTCGCTTTCCTCCAGTAAAGGTACGTCTGTGAAAAGATTCTTTTAGTCCAACAAACACTTCCCCCAGATTTAAAAAAATTCAGCACCTACCTTCGGTATTTATAATTGAACATCCGTCAAAGGAGGCGAGACTCCCACAATGCGCCCTACATGACGGGTTTTGGGAGGTTCCACTGTGAGAAGAAGCTGTATCCAATGTTACAACAGTCGATCCTTCGGACAAAGCCATTGTGTCAGTGGAACCCATAGAATCGCCACCGGATCTTGTACTAGGCGTGTGAGATGCACTGTAACAGCAAGATAAAATAAAATTAAATACAAATATTTTCCATATTAGAAGACTAGATTGGATTTTTAAAATTGCGACGTAGTGTTATATTTTTGAATGGAACACCAAGCATGTATATTTTTTATTTCATTGTGCTTTTTAATCGCTTTTCAAAAATGTATAATTGTCAAAAAAAAATTAAAAAATAAACTGGTTTCTACATTAAGAATATCCTAATAAAATAATATGTTATTCCGCTTAACATATTATTATTATTATTAATTCGTATTTCACAAAATACGAATATAATACAAAAAATGATAAGTAAAAAACTGCTCAAATTAATTTCCGCCAGTTGCCACTTTTGCATAATTTACGAATTCTTCTTTGGGCATTTACAAGGATAATTGGTATAGAACGTAAAATCCAGAATTCAATGGCGTACTCATTTTTTTTTATAAAGTGTTGAGATACATGCCAAACGTATATTTATACAACAGAAAAATTTGCAAAGTGTGCACAAGATATCTGGAAGCTGATGGAAATAAATTCGAGCAGTTTTTTAAATGTTTAATTTTTGTATTCCGTAGTCCGTATTTTTTTCTGATAATAATAATAATTAGTATTAATTTAGTTTAGACAATTACACACTTTTAAAAGATATATGCAGTCTACTGCATTAAAAAAAAAAAGTTTACCTCGAACTTTGAAAAACATATCTTTTGCAGAAAATCTGAGTACGCTACTGGATTCAACCTAAAACGATCTACAAAACTCTGTTTTTTCCATTTTATTACGATACAGAACGTTTTAAATACAAACTACAAGTACAAAGCAAAGGTAATTGAAATGGCCGAATTTTCTGTTTTAGCCTGACTCTCAAAAACAAAGCCCCCCGGGATTGTTTTGAAAACGGAATTTTCACACTATACATCGATGATTTAACATATAACAAAATTATACAAATCGCTTTTTTTCCCGTAAACAAAAAATTCATATTTATAAATGTAAGAATTGGTTGCAATAACCGCGTTGTTTTCATGAATTTAATGTGTGCGTTGCATAATTTATTGTAAAATTTTAGGGATATTGAAGTTCGGTTTGTGGATTGATCAGAGTATTGGCCAATAAATTACTGTTGAATTCATAAATAAATATAACTAATGCATTGGATCAAGAAATATACAAAAGCCAAACGAGAAATCTGAGAGAACGTTTTACTTGAAAACATTGATAATTTTACAAGTTTTCAAACTCCTGCAACTTTATTTTTGAGAAATAGGGATTTATACAATTCGTCTGTAAATGTTCACCCTCTAGGTTACTTAATAACACGATTACGAACTACGAATCGCAACATTTTATTATACATGTCTTCGGCGATGGACCAAACAACTTTCGAAGCATTAAAATATCCAGAACTTCCCCGCTGTAAATTAATGCATAGTTAGTCTTTATTGCTGGCCGGAGGCATCGATGTTCCGCCGCCCGGGCTTGGCCAGAAGCTCATTAAAAATTCTATTTGTCTTCACGTGCCCCAAGAATTTATACCCACTATTCCTGTTCGTATGCTACCGAATTAATCTCTGACCGGCCCGATGCGTGAAAATAATTGATTTCATTATTTAAAACCACATTATAAATTATATTAATTCGCTTACATCGATACGCTTCGATACCTCGAATCCCGTGGATACGTCCCCTCGACAAGAAAAAAGATCCTAAATTTTAAAGTTCCGCGGGCATAGCGCAATTGACTAACCAAGAGATTAACTTCTCTTAAACAGCGTGTTAGAAAAGCCTGCTATTAATGGGGATTTCTCGTTGATTAATTACTTTATTATTTTACATTTTTTACTGAAATCATTTACGTGTTATTATTTGATGATCAAACAATATTGTGTCTATATTTGTAAAAAATAAAATTTATAATAATCTATTTTTTTATTCCGAAAAAACGCATACAAATTGATGTCCTAGGAAATTCAAAAAATTCAAGTGTTTTCCAACGCTTTAAAAAATGTATCGATCAAAAAAATAGCAGTACGTATTATTTCAAAAAAGGCTTAACATGTTTGCCTAAATATGTATATTTAACCATTTTTTTTATTTCTTTAAAAAAAATCATTTGAACTTTACTTTTAAAATACTTATTTCTATTTAAATAATACGCACAATAACATATTACCATGTCATAAAAATTATAAAATCAAATTAATTATTTTTACAATCATATTTATATATTTTATTGATTGATTTATACATTTCTTGTTTGATATTGATATGACAAAATATTTTCAGAATAATAAACAAAAAAATAATATAAAAGAATCCCTTATTACGTTTATCTAACAGTACTATTAAAGTATATGACAAAGGAAACAATCCTTATTACTAGTACTCGTCTCGCAAAATCGATAACGGTTAACGATGCTCAGTGTTGTGTCAAATATTATGTAAATTCAGACGATGCGTTTATTCGAAATTTGTTTTCTTAATAAATTATTATTACTAATCTTGTTCAATCAAATTTATAGTGTCAAGTTATTTTTTGTGATAATATTGGTAATAAGTTAGGAGTGTAAAAACACAAATAAGAATTTTTTGCAGGCCTGGATAAACTAAGGTCAAAGAAATAATAATAACAACTCATAAGATTTTTTCTACTCCCGTCTGTAAACTCCTAATAAGATTTTACTGCACGGCTTAAATTTTGACGTATGTCAATTCTGACAGTTATTAACATTGAATGTATTCATGTTGACGGTCATGTCATTGAATATATTCATGTTGTTTTGCGAAAATATACCTAAAAACTAACGGTCGTAGAAAAAGTATAGTACGCAACACTCGCTCCGCTTGTGCCAAATAAACTCGTGACTTAAATGCCATTTACCGCACTTTTTGCATAATATACTGTTAAATACGGCAACTGTGTTTGGATTAGAGATGTTCATGTTGATTGTATACCTATTACGGCATGGGATTTTGCTTTGAATATAAGCATATGGAATGGAAAAAACCTTTTCCAACATTTTAGTACCAAATAAAACGAATCTGGGGCGTCCTTTGGGCGTAATTCTCCGTAATTTGATTCATAATAACGTATTATTAATTTCAATCGCATGGTAGATTGCATGTAGATCTAGCGCCATTTAATCAACACTCCGTTAAGCCGTAATAGACTTATTTTTGCCCATGGCTGTTCAGCGCTCGTGGGCATAGAACGTGCGTTTATATAAAACGCTAATGCGTTTTATATAAAGAATTTAATTTGAAACATGGAAAACAAACTTCCGGAAGGTAAAAGTGATATTATTTTGCTTGTTTGTTAACTTTAGAATTCGATCAATTACAGCAAAGCTTTTTAGATTTTATATTTTAGATTTGCGTTATATATAGATTTATTTTATCGTCCTTTTTTGTTTTAATTTAGAAATTGTTCAAACTAAGGTAAACGGTACCACCCCTTAAAACTCACGCTTAATTTACATAACATTTACATTTACATTCCATGACATGTCCGTCAGAATTGACAAATGTCAAAATTCAAGTCAAAATCTCCGAAAACATCCGATTGCTCCCAAACCCGTGCGGTAATATCCCGGAAATGTCCGAAGTGGCTAGTGATGCTTCCCGCATGCTAGATCGGTATATAATTAGGTATTTTACAGAAGGGAGTAGAAAAAATATCTTCACACAACACAAAATATTGCACACACAGACAGTGAAGTCTATAGTGCACGATGTAACTGTTGGGAAATGTTATGTTGCAATTATTGTTGTTGGATATAAATTATATTGTTATTGATATTTCATTATTATATGATACAGTAGCTTATTGAGAACAGTAACCATTTTCATGACGGATGTTTTTTGCTAATCATCGAAATAGCTAAAGAGGGCTATAATATATTTCATAGGATGTTACAGAATTGTTCATAGAAACAACAAATGTCCCAAATAGTTTAAAAAGAGATCATAGCCCCAACCATCGAGTTTGGGAAACCCTGTATACATGTATTAAAGACTCGGGGATCTTATGGAACAACATAATAAAAAACAAGATGTATGCCGCTTTTCTCCGATCACATCTGATTATCATCGGAATCTTAGTGTTTCACCCACCAATTAACTTAAAATTAAGTTTATTACCAAATAATTTATTTACGTAAATTGCCATGTCTTTCACGAAAACGGTATCAGTTGCACGTGACATGGACCGATTTCACCAGAATCTGTTTATCTCTTTCTTTTTCGTTTTGATTTTTATACAAGATGAGTAAAATTTCTCTAGTTAAGTCTAAGTACTGTCGTGTAATTTGTTAAATAAACGGCAATTAACGCTAACAATTGAAAATCATTCGTCTGTTCCTTTCCTAAAACCAAACCTTGATAATTATTATTTTTATTTGGTCTAACAATTATGCACTCTAAAGCTAATTCTACACCTTTCAAAATAATTTCCTGCGTTTTTTCTGGCTTATTTTAACATCATACAGATGGGATCCTGGGAACAAAAATGTAAATAAACTTACATCATCCTAGAAAACAAAAGTGTACGTGTAAGTGTAATCTGAGTTTTCCCTGTCGGTTTAAAGGTTTAAATAAAAACAAGCACACGTAAATCATAGCATGATAATGTGATCACAATTTACGGAGAATATTTCATTTTTTTCATAAAAATTTAGGATCCCGTCAAAAGCGTTTATTTTGGCACTCTACAATATTATTTGCAATGGAAAAACGTTTGGAATGAACAACTTTATACAAGGTGTTAGGTAACCTTTCTGACGAAATTTTATGAAGAAAATGTGGTATAACAATTTTTGGAAGAAGTTTTCGTAATTTACTTTGTCTCCATTCTAAACTTTTCAATTAGCTCAGTGGCGGACGCCCGCAGATTTCTCAATAATTTATTACAATAATTATAATTATTATTGCTATCTTAATTAAAACGAAAATTAACTTTTACCCTAGGTAAGATAAAAATATTAAATGCTGAACAGGTACGTATTG